GTCCCCTGAGAAATACACATCCCCCCGCGAGGCGTTGATGTTCTCCCGGCACCACTCCATCCCGTTGCTGGTCACCACGAAGACCGGCTCCTGGTACTTGGCCCGGAAGTAGCCCATGGCCTTCTCCAGGTAGGCCTTGTCCGCCAGCACCCCCTTCCAGTGCTTGGCCATCTCCTGGATGTAATCCCCCCTCCGGACGTGGACGCCCACGTAGGTCACATTCCGGCGCTGCCCACGCAGCCCGGCCAGGTACTGGTTGGCCTCCTTCTTGACGTGGTCGTGGAAGGAGAATTCCTGGAGGATCTCCTGCCGGAGGTGGTGGTAGAAGGTCCAGGAGCAGGGGTAGCCCATCAGCCGGACGTATTTCCCCTCGATGTGCCCGTACTCCTCCGACATCCAGTCGTGGAGCTCATAGTCCTTCCATGGGACGCTCTGGACCATGTCGCCGGGGATCACGGGCAGGGTGATGCGGAAGAGCGGCGCCAGCTGCCAGTGCATCTCGGGGAGGATGTAGGCCTGGCGCCCGTTCATCTTGGCCAGGGCGTAGAGGGTGGCGTATTCCCCCATCTGGTTCCCCAGGCGCCCGGCGGAGTTCACGGTCCACATGCCCTGCTCCGTGGGGAGGGACGGGGACCCCTCCATTACATTCATGGAGGGGAGCCTCTGCTTTGTGGAGGGGAACCGGCTGCTTACGTGGATGAGGAAGGAGAAGGTCATGATGGCCAGCAGGCAGACGGTCACCTTGAGGAGCGTCCGGAAGGGGACCCAGGAGCCCGGGGCAGTCATGGCTCCCAGCGATGATGAGGGAAGGAGATCCCAGCCTGGGGGAGGGGGGTGAATAGAAGGGAAAGTGTGTGTGGGGGAACAGGGGGAGGGAGGAAAGGGGGGGGGGTGGATAGGCGGGTGGTTAGAGGAGAAGGGGGAGGGGCTCTTCCTGGCCCAGGTACCTCTGTTCCCAAAAGGCCTCCGGCTGCCAGCAGAGCCCCGCCCCTGAGCTGCCCCGCCCCCACGCCAGCCGAGGGGCCGGTGACCCCAGCTCCAGCAGGACGCGTGTTGTTGGGGGGAGCAGAGCCACTGCTTGATCCCGGATCGGCCCCTTCAGCTACAACCCAGCCCAGGGGCAGGCGAGAACAGTCAGAGCAACAGTGTTTCCACCCCCACCCCCCCGCCAGCTCGGCTGGTGCCCCTCCAGCCTGATCAGCAGCCCCCCCTGCTGAGAGAGAACCCAGGTGTCCTGGCTCCCAGCCCCCTGCTCTAACCACTGGACCCCACTCCCCTCCCAGAGCCAGGGAGAGAACCCAGGAGTCCTGGTGCTCCCACGGGGTGGGACGGACGGGCCGAAGCAGGGAGCGGTGTCTTGACCTGGGGATGTTGTGGGGGAGTTTTCCATTGGTGCTGGGATCTCGGGGGGCGGGGGGCTGGGGCCAGGTGACACCTTCGGCTGGAGTGGGAGGCTGAGGGAGGCAGCGGGAAGGGGTTTGAGTTTGGAGCCGGCTGAGGAAATGGGGGGAGGACCAGAACCGGGGTCTGGGCTCCCTACCCCCCAAGATGGACCTGACTGGGGGGGTCCTGTTGTCTGTACCCACAAGCTCTGGTTTGGACTGTGTTCCTGTCGGCTAATAAACCTTCTGTGTTACTGGCCGGCTGCAAGTCCCGGTGAATCGCAGGAAGTGAGGGGTGCGGGGCCCTGTCTCCCCCACAGTCTGGGACACGGGGTATCAGACTGGGGGGGGCAGTGAGAGATGTGGGGTTGGGGGAATAGACGGGTGGGTGGAGGGGATGGAAGGAGGGAAGGGGATGCCGGGATGGTAGAAATGGAGGGGAGGGGAGGAGGAAATGGGGGAGGGGACGCAGGGAGGGGGAAATGGAGGCAGAAGAGGAGGGAGGAAGTAGTCCCCAGCGGAGGAGTGCGGCGCAGGGTGGGAGGTTTCCGAGCCGACAGGCAGGACAGGAGCGAAGCCGGGTTGGGCCAGGCCGAGGGAGTCTGGGGTCCGAAGGGATCTGGGGGCCGAGCTGGGGTGACGCCCCCCTGCCCTCTCCCCGGGGCCTGCGGCCGAGGTCCCAGCCCTGGGTCTCTGGGCCCAGCTGCACCAGGCCTGTCGCCACCCCCGGACGGACGGTTTGGGGAAGTCGAGCCAGGCCAGTGTCAGCACCCCACGCCCCGGTCCCACAGCACTCAGAGCAGGGGGGGCTGGGAGCCAGGACTCCTGGGTTCTCACCCCGGCTCTGGCAATGAGGCGATTCCCCTTCAAAGCTGCCGGGCTCCAACCCTCCTCCCCCAGCTCTCGGGGCCCCGTCCCCATCCTCCCCCCGCCCCCGTCTCTGTTCCCCGGGTCAGGTCGCCCGCTGCCGTGCGAGCGAGCTGCTCTGCAGGGGTGACATCCTGCCACAGCTTCCTGAGCCAGCGCCCGGGCCGGAGCTCGACGTGAGGAAGTGTCACCGCCGGTAGGGGAGGCATTACTCACCCCCATTCGCCCGGGGGGGTGTTTCTTGATGCTTTTCGCAGCCCCGCTCAGCGCAGACAGGGGGCGTCCCGCGTCCCCACAGGCTCCTGGCAGCTCCGGGCCCCCCGACATTCAGCCCCTGAGTCGCACACGTGGGAACGCCCGGCTGACGCGTTTCCTGTCTACAGCTGGCTTCCTCCACCGGCTCCGGCGCGCCGGCTGCAGCCATTGGCCTCTCTCGGACGAGCGCAGCTGGGACGCGTCTGGCCGCAAAGGAGGGACCAGAAGATACATCAGGATGGAATCATAGACTATCAGGGCTGGAAGGGACCTCAGGAGGTTCTAGTCCCACCCCCTGCTCAAAGCAGGACCAATCCCCAGACACATTTTGGCCCCAAATCCCTAAGTGGCCCCCTCCAGGATTGAACTCACAACCCTGGGTTTAGCAGGCCAATGCTCAAACCACTCTCTGGGCTCGCGCCGCTTCACGCGTGGGCTTCGGGCCCCAGGCCCAGAGCGCCAGACTCGCTAGCACAGCTGGCAGGGCTGGCCCCAGGGGGGCACTGGGCTGCAGGGACTGGGGCAGGGGGCCAGCAGGGGGCGCTGGGCTGTGGGGAGCGGGATGGGGGTCAGTACAGGGCGCTGGGCCGTTGGGGGAGCTGCAGGGGAGGGGCGGGGGCTCAGTGGGGGCGCTGGGCTGCGGGGAGTGGGGGTTTGGCGAGGGAGCG